TTCTTTGTTTTTCTAAAACCTTCAGTAGTTCAGAGTAGAGAACTGATGAGCCTTGAGATGTTGGGCAATGGAATTTGGCTTCTACAACTCTACTGTGACTTGAGCATGTCTTCCTTGCTTCAGTAGGGTCTAGCAACCACCAACTAATCCCACAGGCTTAATAGTTAATATTTTTCCTGTACGTCTCAAATGTCGAAAGTTTTGCATAGATCAGTGCATCTTTCACTGTACCCCATCCAGATATACCACAGATTAAAATTTTAGTAACTGCAGTGCTATAGCATGCCAGGGGCTATTAAGTTATTTTAAGTCATATGTATTATTTATACATAAATTTTATATGTTATTTATGTATATATTATTTGTTATGTACACTATACATAAATTTGTAAATACAAATTCATAAACACATGAATTTACTTGTTTTCAAAGTTATTGGTATAAATTATTGATAGTATTCCTTTTACTTTTTTTAATTAAAAAACTTCGGAGGGTAAGATTGTAGATGCATAAGCAATTGCTAGAGATTTTGCAGACAGATCCAGTGTATATTTTGGATAATTTCCACCGGTTGTAACATGTTGGAAAGCTAAGTATGAAACCATAAGCAGGATTTTAACATTGATACAGTGAAGATACAGAAAACTCCATCCCTACAAGGATCACTTCTATTGCCCTTTAATAACTAAAACCCCCCTTTCCCCTACTTTTCCACACTGAAACTTAACTCCTGGCAACCATTAATCTTGAAATGACAAAATTATACAAATGGAGAACATGAAATCAGGTGTTGATTTCTCCACTTTATTGTTCTTTTTAAAAGTTGTTTTAGTTATTCACTTCCTTTACCTTTCCATATAAATTTTACAATAATCTTGTCTATGTCTATGAAGAATCTTGCTGGATTCTTGATAGAAAACAGCATTTAGACTGTATATCAAATTGGACAGAACACTTTACTGTGCTGAGTCTTCTAATCTATGAACATATGTCTCTCCATGTATTTAGAACTTTGATTTCTTTCATTAGCATTTTGTAATCATCAGCAAAGAGTTATACCCATGTTTTGTTAGACTCACATTTAAATATATCATTTGAGTGATTATAAATGATACTAATATTTTAATATCCATGTGTTCATTGCTCATATGTGAAAGAAAATGGAATTTTGTATGTTTGCTTTGTATCCTGTGACCTTGCTGAACTCACTTGTAGTTCTAGGTGGATTTTTTTTTTGTAGATTCCATTGGATTTTGTACCTAGAAAATTGTCATTTTGAAATGGAAACAGTTTTATTTTTTCTTTACTGATCTGTTTCTTATTTCCTTTTCTTTACTTACTGCATTAGCTTGAACTTTTGGTACAATGTCGAATAAGAGTGGGAAGACCAAGAATCTTTACCTTGTTCTCAATCTTCGGGGGAAAGCATTGTCTTTTACCATTAAGTATGTTTCAACTGTAGGTTTTTTTGTAGATGCTCTTTGTTAAGTTGAGGAAGTAACCCCATTTCTCATGTTCTATGATATTTTACCACAAATGGATTTTGAATATTGTCGCATGCCTTTTTTTATATCAGTTGATATAATCATGTAGTTTTTCTACTTTAGCCTGTTAATATGGTAGAAGATTAATTTTTTGGCAGTTGATTAATTTTTTAGTGTTCAATCAGCCTTGTGTCCCTGGTATAAACCCTACCTACATCTTTGTAAGTAGTTCTCTTATTAAGTTCTCATCAAAACACTCCCTTTGAATGTGTCATTTGCATTGTATGAGGGCTTACACTTGTAGATCATCACCTTAAGTGAAACACTAAAAAATGGGCTTAAATTCTATTTCTTGCAACTAGGAAGAGATGATGATAGCATCTCATTGAAGGGTAGATTTCTGGATTTAAAACTGAACAGTTTCCTTCTTACACTAATTAAAGAAAATCCACTTTTTTACCCACTAGAAGGTTTTCAGTGGAAGTATAGGATGATTAGGCTACAATATTATAATGATGGTGTACATGCATATATGTTTTAAAAATACAGAAAAGGACACTGACTAATAGTATACATATTTTAATTGGAGCTGCATTTTTTTGTTGTTGATAAGATGAAAAAAATCCATAAATATTTCAGTGCATGTGAACACTTTTCCAGTATGTCCCAAATTGCGCAGCAGGGGTACATTTGGAAGAACAAGATATATAAAAATAATATAAATAAGTGAGAAAATAATTTTTTAAGAGAAATAGGTTAGTCTGTTTAATAAGTGATCTTCCCATTGGCATTACTTTCTGAGACCTTTTTGCTAATCCACATTCCAAATAGCCAGAAGCAGAATTTTATCATTTCCAAAGCTCATTTGTTCAGGCCACCATTTTTTCTGGGAGTGTTTAAACAGACATTTCCTCTTGAACAGTGAGTTGGGAAACTGCTTTATTATAATGACTTAATCAATAATTTTCAAGGGGACAGTTGAAAATAATTATGTTGCCGTCTCACTCTAGGCTCTATCTGAATTGGGAGATAGAATATGTAACTTGGAAAGACTTCTTGAGGGGTTCTGTTAAATTGAGAACTGCTAGTCCATGAAAGAATAGATTATTAATATTTAAATCTCACCTTCCAAATTTCTGTTTTTTAAGTCTAAATTCCATGGACCTAAAAAAATATAAAGCTAAATGGGTAAAAAGAATTATGATAGATCAATGAGTTTGTCAAATTTATCCAGCATAATTTGGCTGTATTTTTATTTACAAAAGGAAAACCCATATACATATATTACTCTACTATTCCTTGGAAAAGCAGACCTGGGTTATTATAACATGAAAAATAAATTTTGTGTTACAAGGTTATTAAGTTTTAACTTTGGCCCTAAAATGATAGAAATCAGATATCAATTTAGGTGATAAATGAAAATGCATATTTTAAAAATTAACATCTAAGAACCCAATTAGGCAGCTGACCTACAAAAGAGACAAGAATTGATAGTATAGAGCACCTTTTTCTGAGAATAGCCAAAGAGTAAATATTTTAGGTTTGTAGGCTGTGTGGTTTCTGTTTCTATGCAACTCTGTTGTTGCAGTGCAAAAGCAGCCATAGCCAATACTTAAACAAATGACCGTGACTGTGTTCCAATATAACTTTATTTAAGAGACAGTCTGGATTTGGCCCACAGACTTTAGTTTGCCCACTGCTGGCATTCAGGAAGAGAGATATTTATGAAGAGGTTCTGTTGGAAAAAGTTTCCCCAAACACCATGAGAATCTCATCTGCAGCCTAGAAAGACAGAGTTGGGGGCATGGGAGAGGGGTTTTGAGAGGTCTATGTGGAGTGCTCAACCTGTGTCTTCCTAACTTTATGGGCCATGTTGTTTCCAAGACTGGAAATGAGCTGTACTCCCTACCAATGGTAGTAAAAAACATCCAAGAGTGTTTCCTGTGCACCCAGGGTAGGTCATGGGAGAGAGAGCACTTGTCTAAGCTTGTTTAATTTGAGTTCAACAGAATCACCTGGTAAGGCAAGAGGACTTCAAGAGAGACGGTTGTGTATAGAGTATAGACTGAAACCTGGGCCAGAATGGGGAATAGTCCCAGAGAAAATATGACTGGACATTCTCATTTTTTACTTTATTTTTAAAAAATCCTCACCTGGGGATATATTCATTGATTTTTTGAGAAAGAAAGGGAGGGAGAGGGAGAGAGAGAGGGAGGTATCAATGTGAGAAAGAAACATTGATTGGTTGCCTCCTATATATGCCTTGACCAGGATTGAACCTGCAACCTAGATATGTGTCCTGACTGCAGATTGAACCTACAACTTTTTAGAGTATGGGATGACATTCCAACCAACTGAGCCACCCGGTCAGGGCAACATTCTCATTTTTTAAATTGAGAATGTTTGACCAGATGATTTTTTTTTTAAGCCAAGAGTGAGCTGATAAGTTAGGCAGTTGAAATTTCATTCAGGAGCAAGAGACCACCCCCAACTCCCCTAGGGAAAATTTGAATGAAATTGTGAAGACAAAAACAAATTGCACTTTTTGTTTTTATGACAGAAAATTTCAAAAGCACAGTCAAAAGAAAAGAATACAATGAACTTCCATGTATGCATCATATAGTTAACTCAGGTCCAATCTTGTTGCAGCTGTACTGTTTATCTACTGTCCTTTCACCATCTCCATACTTACACATGAAATTACTTTGATGCATATCCAGCATCTGTATTTTCTTTCAGTTGGAAGAAAGATCCAGAGACTTGGTCAGATTCAGGTTCAATTACCTGGCAAGACTATGTCATAGGTGATATATGCATGGCCTATAGTCCCATAATGTCTGGTCTCTGTCTGTTAATGTTGATCAGGATTTAGGAAAGTCTGATTCATCTGCTACAAAGTTGTTTATCAACTTTTTACCAGTTTTGACAACCATTAGTGATTGTTCATGCTCATACTTTTATTAGAGAAAAATTGCATTTTGATTACCTCTCACTGGTTGTGCTTATTCAGTGCATAGTTTATATGTAGACCTTGCCAGTTTGTTAGGATCCCCAGGATGGGGGGACAAATTAGTCATTTTTCTCAAGATTCCTATTTATTCATTAGTTTTGGAGTTTGGGTGTATTTTTGTTTGTTTATATAAAGGTCTATAAACTCACTTTTTTTTTCACTTTTGCTCAGCTGCCTCCTACTGCATGAAAGGCAGTCTAATTCTCCAGCCTTCTTTGGTAAGATCTGCTGATTTCTACTGGTATGACTTTCAGTGAACTGGTTGCTCTTCTGCTTTGAAAGATCCTTGAGTGCTGGTGTGCTTGGTGAGAGTAAATGTTGCTCCTGAGCTTGAGAAGATTTCATTTTTTTAATGAGATGGTTTCCAAGATATTTTCATGTCTTGGAATCATAACTATTTTTTCCTATTCTGGAAAGTCTTTTTTTTTTTTTTTTACAATCGAGAAGAAAGGGGACACTCTCAATCCATGCATTGGCTGGGTTATTGGGGGAAGGGATGAGGCTCTGTGTGACTGACTTATTACATTCATTTTTCCTAATTCTATCCATAGCTTCTTCTTATCTTGTTGTTGATGCTGTTATCCAAACCAAGTAAGATATTTGATACTTTCCACATTTCTTTTTCACCACAGTTTTTGTAGGACTCATACTTAAGGGAAATTTAAAATAAAGGTCTTGGGTCTAAAAAAAAAAAGTGATATTGAGACCACATTCCTGGGGGGAGAAGATCAGACTCTTAAATAATCTCGATGTCATAAGCAAGTGGGCCTCCAATGGAAAATCCCAGGTAAAAAGACACTGTATCTATGCTTCTACCACTTCTTAGTTGACCCCAGAAAGTAGGTGTGATGGATATTGTGATTTTTTCACTGGTTCCATATTCTATATATAAACAATTATGTTCGACTCGTCCCTTTAAACGAAGCAAAAGTTCTTGGACTTTTTTCTCCTTCCACACTTCTCCACTCTGCCACAAGAAATTAATGTCAGGTGTCTTTCCAAAGCATTGATCAATTTTCCCTTTGTGGACAAGTCTGTTCATATTGTTACCTTTCCCAAGAAAGAAATATGCAATTGGTTGCTTTGTACGACACATATGTTTATATTGTCCCCTGAAAGACTTTTCCAGTGACCAAGTATACTTTTCCATTTGTTTAGAATCTTGATCTAGTTGTTGATTTTCTGGCCAGAATAAAAGGGAAGCTAGGAAATAAGGTTCTGAAAATCGATAATGCAGTCCTACTTGTTGTAAGACTTCTCGAAGCTGACCTTTCAGTTTTTTAATTGGCATCACAATTTTGGACTTAGGTTTGATACAGTAGAGAATGATATTGGCCAAGATGAAATTTTGCTTTTCCTTTGGCTGGATTCTGACAGTGCACTGTTCAAAGAGAAAAGTGTATTTTTTCACTATATCTTCCATGGTGTTAATAGCCTCTTCTTGATTTTTGGTTAGATATTCCAAGAGGCCAGAAAACTTGTCTGCTTTTAAAACTTCTAGGCTTTTCCAATACAGTTCTACTTGAAGTGGCAAACTAAACTTTAATCCGAGATTTTTGTTTTGTGAGTCCTCCGAGGGACCAAATATATCTACATACTTCTTAAAATATACAGCCACCTTTCTCCGAGTTTTGGACTGTTCATTTTGCTTAGTGCTGTTCCTGGGTTTTAGAAGGAGAAAATAATCATCAAAAAAATCAAAGCACTTTTTCAAAGAATATCGCAAATTAGTTAGATAAGGAATAAAGTTCTTGAGGACTAACTTAAATTCATTGTCTGGGTCCCCAGGAATATCACTACTTCCTGATATAAAATTGATCATCTCTCTTTTCGATAGTTCATTTTTATTGTCAAAAAAAGGGATGAGCTGGAGAATATGGATTGTGTAGAGCCCAACTTCTATCTCCCCATGATAACCAGCAATATTGTAAGTATCATATCGCCTCTTTGACTTCTGACAAAACTTTTCTGTTGCCTCACCCTCTTTATCTTCACTTTGCTGTTGAGATTCTTTGAATGCATTTGAGGCATGTACTGCTAACTCCAAAAGATCGGTTAGGTCAGCAACCGAAATATTCCTGTTTCTTTCATTATTCTCTGTCCACCATCTTATTTTACTTTTGTACACTTGACCTAGTGTATCAGAGATATAAGAATTGCCAGGTTCTATCTTTTTTGCTTGATTTGCCCAAGTAAGGGCACTGTTAAAGTTCCTTTCTTTAATGTAGAAATGTCTTGCCAAGGCTTGGCAAATGAATGCATTTGGGTTAAACCGATGAATACCTTCCAGCAATACTTTTTCAACTGCTGAGTTCCCTTCATCTTCATGTAATGCTTCAATGAAAGGGGAAAACCAAGTTCCTGTTTCACCTTCATGTTCATTGCGCTGTCTTGTGAGCAGCAGTGTTTGCATATCTTGGAGAAATTTGCTTCTTCCCATACTAGTATCATAGAACAAATTTTCTTTTAGCATATCCAGAATAATTTGACTTTTATCCAAATGATAGCTTATCTTCAATTCTTCCAGTGAGCGAATGGCAATTAAAGGGTGAATAATGCGCACTCCACTGTAGTTTCCACATTCCATCACTTCTGTTTTAATCAAAATTATAGAGTAGGTGCCCATCTTGTCTTCAAATTTTTCTGTTCCCCAGAAAGCCTTCTTGTCTTTTATTCCTAAGAACTTTTCGCATTGTGAAAGTGAAATGGTGGTATCAGGCACATATGAATTAAGAAGAGCCAGAAAAGAAAAGAGCTTTGCTTCCTTGGTGGAAATATTTTGTCCTTTCAGGATATTCCTGACCACATTTTCTATGTACTTCTTATTAAAATTGGTTTTCATGATCATGAAGGAATAAAAATCTTTGAAGTTTTCATGTTGCTCTTCAATTTCTTTCAATTTAAGCTCAAAAGCTCTCTGTTCTTTGGCAGATAGCTGTTGTATTAGCGCAATACTGTCTGAGATCTTTGCACATTTTTCAGGATTCTGTGATCTTATACAATTTAGGATGATCACTAGAGGTTTCTCATAGCGAATGTACTTACTAGTTATAGCTGTTTGAATAGAGGATCGCAGAAGATAGATATCACCTTGTTCTTCAAAATCATCAATAAGAAGCAGCACAGGTATGTATTCCTGATGGTTTGCTGTCCCATGGGTGATTAAATTAGTCACTTGTTTTCCAATTTCAGAAAAATCCACTGTCTTGTTTTTCAACACAGCACATCTGAATTTCTTCCTTAGTTCCCAGAGAATATGCATAGCCAAAGTAGTCCCACCACAGCCTGGGTGATGATACAGATGAATAATTTCAACACATGTTTGCTTAGAAGAATCTGCACAGTTTTGAATAATCTTTTCAAGTTTTTCATATTTATCCCTTTTGACAAAAGGTGAAGAATAGTTTTCAGAAGAGAAGTAGAAGTTCCACCAGGATACTTTACCACCTCGATAGAAGTCTTCCTCTTTTGAAGCCTTGAATTCAAGAAATTTATTTTTGTCCTTTTCTAAGAGTGTCCCTTCACATTCATTTTCACAGAGAATTTCCAGAACAGTCATGATGTCTTCTTCCTTTTTCAGAAGGACAGTAGATGAACCAATAGATGGCAAAAATCTCTTTAAAGATTTAGTCACAGATTTTAATTTAAGAATAGTACCATTTATCTCTTCAAGACTTAAAGAAGAAATACATTGTCTTGATAATTCATCTTGTGTTTTTAGTCTTTCTTCAAGTAGATCTTTCCATCTCTGACATATGTGTGAGTGTACACAAATACATAATATATTTTCCATTCCTTTGAGATCTTGGTAGAAAGCACAGAAGGTCTCAATGAGGGGATCTCTTGGGTCATCCACAGAGGAGAATAATAGAAATACCACCAAAAACTTCCCGCTTGGCATTATGTCTTCACGTGTAAGAAATGATATCAATTTTCTTACTTCAGATGCTTTTTCTCTTTGCCAGGAACTTGGATCTAAGGGTTTATATTTTTCGCTGTTAAGGTCTAACCTGCCATTGCAGAAAATCCAGCTGGGTTGTTGATAAAGATTCAGACTAGAAATCATATCGTTTAGTGTGGTTTTCCCATCTACATACAGACTTGGCAAGTGAAGGTTTACTACTCGGCTTTCTTTGTAAGCATTCACTATCCCCTTGCTTACAGACTCAGGATCAAACTCCAACACAGCAAACCATTTAATTTCCTTTAGGAAATCTAAATGTTTTATTTGATTAGGATGGCTTTTATTTGTTACAAGAATGTACCATTCATAGTATGAATTATCTAACGAATCCTGATTTCCTGTCAACAGCTGACTAAGCTTTTGTCCCTCACTCTCTTTTTTATTTGTTTTTACCCTGCATTTTTCTTCTGCTTCTTTTCTAGACTCTGCCAGTGTTTTTAAACCTAATTTAAACTCTTTGAAGACTGCATTTGAATTTATGATGTTTTTAGTGCTGGTCCCATCTCTCACAAAGACTGAGAATTTTGTACTTTGTTCCCATATTTTGTTGTTGCAATTTTGCCTTTTAATCTGGAAATAATCATGTCCACATTCAGAGTATTTTGGAATGACATCCACTTCAATAACAAATTTGTCAGATGGAATACTGTTTGGCAATAAAACTTCTACAAATCTTGGCTCTCGAATGCACTTCTTTGCTATTTGGGCCTGATGGTCTTCAAAGTACTGGCAGATCATCTGATTGAAGTGATCAATGAGAGCTTCCTTGGTGACATTGGTAGTCACACCAACGATTTTTCCATGGGGTTTGTCTTTGACTCCAAAGTGAATAGTGCCATTGGTCCGTGAATTCATACAAGCTGAAGCAAATCTGAAGACTTCATTGCTAAATTTCATTTTAACATCCTTTTCTGTGGCTGTTTTTGTTTTTGTGAGTTCTTTGAATTCATGTATTGGATCAATGAGATTGAGTGGTCCTGTTTCAGGCTGTAGACAAAAATCCAATTTATAACGATATGGATCACTGAATTCATCAAAAGGGTATGATACACATGTCAGGTCTGTGGATGGCTGCTTTTCCTTTGTGTCATATGTTTCATCTAACACACACTCAGTTTTTAGTGACTTAGAAACTGTAGTAACTGTAGAGGCATTAGCCATATCTGATTTCTTTTTATCATTTTGTTTTTGCTTTGAAGTTTCATGTTCCTCTTTTATAGCTTGTGTATTAGGAACATTTTTATTGTCTTTTTTCCTCTTATATGTCTGAATAGGATCTTCAGAGGATGTTTTCAGCAATTCTTTGAATAGACATTCTATTCGGATAGCTGGTCCATGTGTTATTCCCATATCAATGAGGGCATTTTTAGTTAACCACTTCAAGACTGCTCCACTCACATCTTGTGCAGTCAATATTGCCCTGTGTTTTTGGTCAATTTCATGACTTTCTAACCACTGGTTTACATCCTCTTTTGTCCAGACATCTGTATTTTCTGGCAGGTTTAGTTGTGCTGCCATTCTGATATCTGTATATAGAAAAAGAAAAATAATTTAATATTTTTATGAGTAAATTTTTAAATAACTAATTTTTCAATAGGTAACATGTATGTCTGATGCAGTTTTAAAAGTTCAAAAGAATATGCATGCCATCTAGTTATTCTCCTGAGAGGAAATTACCATTACCAGTTTATTCTGTGTCCTGCCAGAAAAATAATACTAAATACAAGCAATTTTCCCCCCCACATGAGTGACAGCATTATAAACACATTTCTCACCACCTTGCTTCATTCACTAACTGTATCTTGAGGATGCTTGCAGTTGGTACATATAGAGATGTTTCATTTTCATTAATGGTGGTTTGGTATAATGTGTGTGAGCTGTGTTATTTTAAAATATTCAATTCTGTTATAGAAAATAAGAGGAACAGACAAGTATATATGAAACTAAATAGAGAAGGCTATATGAAATAAGGAGGACATGTGAAACTAAGTATAGAAGCAAGTAGTTATGAAACATGTTATGATAGGTGTAGTGTATACAGAACATATGAATATTAAACATAGGAAGGGATAGAAAGCCAAATAGGTATTATGTATTCTTAGACACAATTGAAGCACTTGATATTGTTGAGCTCTTAATTGGGTCTTAATTGGGTGACACCCACTTGATCCTTTGGGTCCTCTACTCAAGAAGCACAAATAAAATCTAGAGTAGTTTATTAGGCTAACTGATGAGCTATAGCTGTGGTTAGGCACATGTTTCCCTCTGCATCTCTCTGGTTAGAACAAGTGCATCCCCCTTGAACAGACCTCAGTCCTGGTTCTCAGAATTACACAATCAATGGAGAAAGCCGATACAGCAGAGAGGGAGAGAGGATGTATGATCTTGCATAACTCAGGTAATAAGGTTCCACCCCTCTAGCATCTTATCCAAAGTGTGTTACCCATATCTTCTCCCTGCTTTTCATTGTGTACTTAAATTAATAAGGTATGTGCCTTAAGCAACTTCATTTGGTGTGTGAGCTATTCTGTTCCATGATTTCTGGGATAGTTTGCTGGGTAGAGAACTTGGAGGTTACTATTATATTAATTTTTACATAATAAGTGATAATAGCTGATTCCTGGGCAGTAATAAATGGAATTATTATTTGGTCTGCAAATTGGCAGACTACTATCTGTAAATTCATGGCAATCTTGGTTACAGAAATATAACAATGGTTAGAAAAAAATGAAATCCAAATAATAATAGCTTTAAGTACAATCCAAAAATGGCCCCCCAAACACAAGCCATTCCAATGATTCCATCATAGGAGAAATAATTAACGGAAGAGATAAGCTTAGGAAAAATCACGGCGAATAGATTATATGGGCCCACTTTTATGAAAGAATTCATAGGAATATTGCCTCCCACTGGTAAAACAAAATTCATGATTGGAATATATCTACCCTTCCTGATATAAAGATGCCAGAGCAGTGGTCCAAGTTTAGAACTATTATTTTTGGTTAGTAATTCCTGTATGCATAGAAATACATAAAAAAACATACCTTACAGCTACAGTAATACAAAGTAGGCAAAAATATGCAAAATTGATGGAAATTTTACTCCCTTACAATGCTATGACAATGAGAAACATAAAAGATTTAATGACTTCCAAAATAAAAGTGAACCAGATAAAGTTTACTTCAGTAATTTGGCCTACAGAGATCAAGAAGTTCAAATTTTAAATGATCTGGGAAAAGAAAATAGAGTGGAGGGGGAAATTATTTTAGGTGTACTAATCTTTAAAGTTGGCTGCTCACACCCTTTTGCACTGTTGAGGGGAATGCAGACTGGTGCAGTCACTGCAGAAAGTAGTATGGAGATAACCTCAAAAAATTAAAAATGGATCTGCATTTTGATCCAGTGATCCCACTTATGGGGATATATCTAAAGGAACCCAAAACACTTATTTGAAAGAACATAAGCACCCCTATGTTCATTGCAGTGTTATTTATAATCGCTAAAATATGGAAGCAGCCCAAGTGTCCATCAGTAGATGAGTGAATAAAACAACTATGGGACATTTACACAAGAGGATTCTACCTGGCTGTAAAAAAGAAGAAAGTTTTACCCTTTGCAGCAGTGTGGATGGACCTAGAGAACATTATGCTAAGTGAAATAAGCCAATCAGAGGAAGACAAATACCATATGATTTCACTCATATGTGGGATCTAATGAACAAACTGAACTAACAAGCAAAATGCAGACAGACTCACAGATGGAGAACAGATGACAGCTAGTGGGGAATGGGGAGATTAGGGGCTAGGGGCATTGAGTAAAAAGGAAAAAAGACCCAAGGACATGGACAACAGAGTGCTGATGGTTGGGGGGAGGAGGGTATTAAGGGGACTGAATGGTAAGGGAAAAAAAAATACAATAAAGATTAAATTAAAAAAGTAGTAAGTCCCTTTTCTGGGATTACATCATACTTAAGACAGTGTATCAAAAGACACAACAGAATGGAAAGGCAAGCTACAGAATGGGAGAAAATATTTGCAAATCATATAACTGGTATGGTGATATCCAGAATATAGTAAAAACTCCTACAACTCAACACCAACAGCAAAGCAAATAACCCAATTGAAAAATGAGCAATGGACTTGTATACATATTTATCCACACATGATACACAAATGACCAACAAGCATATGAAAAAATGCTCAACATCACTAATCACTTGAGAAAAACAAATCCAAACTACAATGATATATCATTTCATGATTGTGATGACTACTAAAAAAAAAAAAAAACAAACCCATGAAAATAATAAGTATTGGCAAAGATGTGGAGAAATTGGAAGGGACTTTTGTGTACTGTTGGTGGGAATGTAAAATGGTGCAACCTACTTGACCTATCCTAAAAGAATCTTTAAAGGAAGTTTTCTAAACAGAAAGGAAGTGGTAAGAGAAGGAACCTTGGAACATTAGGAAGGAACAGAAGAACATGGTAAGCAACAGTATTGGTAAATACAATAGAGTTTCTCTTATTTGGTTTTGTTAATTGTTTGAATGTTGAAGTACTGTCTGATATGGTTCTAAATATATGTAGTGGAAATAGTAGGATTATAAGTGGATAGGTAAAGGAATACACCGGAACTGAGACTTCTACACTTCACTCAAACCAGTAAAATAATACCATGTAGACTGTCATAAATTATACATATATAATGCAATATCTAGAGTAACCACTAGAAAAAGCTGTACAAAGTGATATACTCAGAAACATTGTAGATTAAAGTGGAATTTTAAAAAAATTTCAAATAATGCAAAGGAAGTCAGGAAAAATACACTAGAGAAATAAAAAACAGAACAGAAACAAAAAATAAAATGGTAGATATAAGTATTAACATATAAATAACTACATTAAATATAAGTAGGCTAAATACAGAAATTAAAAGAAAGAATTGGTATAATGGATTCAAAACATGACCCAAAATATGCTGTCTACAAGACCTTCACTTGAAATATAACAATATAGGTAGGTTGAAAGTCAAAGTATAGGTAAAATATATAGTACAAATATTAATTTATAAGCACAGGAGTAGCTATATTAATGACAAATAAAGTAGATTTCAGAGCACAGAAAATTACCTCAGACAGAAGAATATTATATAATGATTAACAGGTCAATCCAACAAGACACCAGAGCAACCTTAAAAGTGTTTGTACCAAACAAGAAAGTTGCAAAACATTTGAGGCATACACTGATAGAACTTTTCAGTTTTAGGAAAATCCACAATTGTAGTTGGATATTTCAACATCATTCTTTTAACAATAGAACTAGACAGAATATTAGTGAGCATGTGGAAAAATTCAATACCATTGACCAAAATGTTAAATCACAGACCACTCCATCCAACAACAGCAGAACATCATTCTTTTTTAAAAAAATTAATTAATTTTTCCAAATACATTTGTCTCTGCCTTCCCCCCACCACTTGCCCCTGCCCCCCCGCCTCCCTCCCCCAATCCTTCCCCACTTTGGTTTTGCCCATGAAGAACATCATTCTTTATAAGTGTCCAAGATAGACCATATCCTACATGATAAAACAAAGTTCAACAATGTATTTATTTTTTTCAAGGTTTTATTTATTTTATTTTTAGAGAGGGGAAGGGAGGGAGAAAGAGAGGAAGAGAAACATCAGTGTGTGGTTGCATCACACACACTCCCTGCTGGGGATGTGGCTCGCAATCCAGGCATATGCCCTGACTTGGAATCAAACCAGCAACACTCTGGTTCACAGGCAGACACTTAATCCACTGAGTCACAACAGCCAGGGCAAATTTCAACAAATTTAAAGAATTGAAATCATACAGAATATATTTGCCAACTACAATGGAATCTTATGAAACATTGATAACAGAAGGGTAGAGGAAAAATCACTAAACACTAAAATCACACATTCCTAAATCATGGGCAAAAGGAAGGTCTCAAGAAAAAGTAAAAAAAAAAAAAAAAAAACTGGGAGAGAAGATGGCGGAGGAGTGAGGGGGAGTCACACTGACCTCCTCCCAAGACCAAACTGGAATTGTGACTAAATAGTGGAGTAATCATCTGGAAAACAATGGAACGACAGTGGGAGAGGAGCCTTGGAGCCGCGGACAGACAGTGGACTCAACTCTTACACACCCAACGGGTGAGAAGTGCGGTGGAGGATCGAGAGGGTGGGCTGGGTGCCCACGGGCACTAGCACCAGAGGGACATTGGAATGGCCAGTTAGCTCCCCCCGAAAAGAACGGGGTCTGAATCATAAATAGGGACCCCTAAACTACAGCAGCTAAAACCAGGAAAAAACACAAAACGCAACCCCGAAAAGCTTAGGGGCGCTCTCTGGCAGAGACAGGTGGCTGGGGATGCAGAGACATTTAAAGGGCCAACGCAAAAATTGCAGTGGCAGCCACCCTCCTTGATCTCTGGGTAGAGGCGGCAGCAGGGTGGGCTGGTGCTTGGGAAAAGACTGGTGAGGAAAACTTTGTGAAGAGAACTG